GCACTTATGAAATCATCCCAGCCAAGTTCATTATTCCTTATGGGGTGGGGAGGTGGTAAAAGGGATATTGTATATCTCACTGCACTGAAAGGGCTCAATCTGGCTGGATTTGAGTTCTGGAACACATCTTCCCCACTCCTCCCCTGAGTCCTTTACACACATTCTGAGTCCTTTCTTAAGACTTTGCAGCCTTCTCACCCAAGTCTGCATCATGGGTTTGCTGGGTTCAATGATGGCAAATTCGCAACCAGTGAAGGTTTTAGCTGGCATAGGTGAGGCCAGTGGTGTTGGTCCACCCTTGCATATATCTCATTCTGGAAACTGAAACTTCAGTGAGACCAGCTTTTCATCAGCTGAAGCCTGGCATGCTGGGCCTGACAGTCAACACTACATGCACTGCCTTTGGGAGTTAGCACACTCCCTTCCCCCACCTGGGACCTTGTCGGTGTGAGGCCTCTAGCTCCCTTGTTGTCAGACATCTCTGAATCTCCACCAGGTGCCTTCCTGGGTGTATTCAACAAGATGACTGGCCCTTTTCCAGCCCTGTCCTTCACCTGCCTGGGCATCAGTTGTTTTCTATGAAAACAGTGGATTGGTTGGGTTTTGTGCAGGGTCTTGGGTTAGAGCCACAATGGATTTGAGGATGAGTATTTTTTCTTTTGGTTTTGTATATTTTGTACATTAATAATAAACAGTGGAAAGAGAAGCAGCTTATTTAACCCCTGGTGTGTTTGGACTTAACAAAACCCAACCATTATCAGCTGTTTTAGGTCCATTAATACAAGACTAGAATCTTCAATTCTCTGGAGCTAAAACTTGTTCTACTTTCAAGTCATACTGTTGGTATTATGTAAGAGACTGGGGAATTAGAATACTCAATATAAAACACCGTAGGTACAAGGTAAATCCCGTGGATCAGCTCTGAGCAAGCAGTGAGGGAACAGCTCAGATTGCTAGAGCTGCAGACTCTGGGCACAGCAATTCTAGTTGGACCTACCAGCCCTGTGGAGTTGATTAGAGGAGGAGTTTGAGAGTGGGTGGAAGAGGAGCAAAGAGCAGCTGAAGGAAAAATCCAAGAGCAGTTTCTGGGTAAGCAGAGAATAACAGGTGGCTCCTGTTTTAAGAGCAGCTCCAGTGGAGAAAGTGAGAAGCAAGAGAAAGTACAGACTGCTCTTCCCAAAAAAGTGCTTCTGCAGAGTTAGAGGAAAATAGGTTTGTTGCTAGATGTTGGATTCAGATTTAGTTCTTAAGGTAATAAAGTGAGGGCCTAGTTGATGTAATGAGATTTCCAAATAGGTTTTGGAGAATAGAACATGGAGGAATAGGATTAAATAGGAAGTTCTGCTATTCTTAAAACGAGAAATTGGTAGTATATTACATTTGTGGGGGAGAGGAAGGATGGAGATACTGGGTGTGGGTTGAGAATAGTGGTTTTCAACCTTTTAGCATTCATCAGGATCATCTAAAGGGCCTGTTAAAAAAGCGTGGGGGTGGGTTCCAGCAAATTTTCTAATTCAGTACGTCTGGAACAGATCCTGAGATTTTGCATTTCTAACAAGTTCCCTGGTGTTGCTGATGCTTATCTAGAAAACACTGAAGTTGGCCCTACATGTTTCTTGGTTATTTCCAGGACTGGCCACATGAGGGCAACAACTAAATTTCAAAGGCCTCATTTACACTTAGTGAGGCCAATGGGGCTGTTGATCATCCTCCCTTTGTCCAGTCTTCCCACTATCTCCTGCAACAGGCCACAAGAACCCTTGAAGATAGCTTAAAATTTTTCTATCTTAATTTAAAATGAATCTAGCCATTTTTCTTTCAAATTCTCCATGAAAATCCAAAATAATGTTATTTAAAAATTTTTCCTTTGGAGAAGTGGAGAGAGGCTAAACATCTCAACCATTTCACCAGACCCCCGACCCATGTTTCTTCAAGCACTGCAGGACTTCTCTCCCCCATTTCAGTTGGGCTGGGCTTCCTTTCTGCATCCATTGCTGCCAGACACCGCCCCCTCAATAAAAAACCCTTTCAACTTTAGACGTTCTCTGCCAACCCTTCTCCAGGTAAATCAGTTCGATATTTGAGTCATCATCATTCTATATCTCCCATTCCTGTTCCTGGGGAATACATACACTTAATGTTGAAAAATCACGAAATCCTACCATCTTGACCCAGTACAAATTATTTGTACTAACTCAACATTTACTACTGCTTGGCAAACTTCCTAACTCTTCTCTGGCACCAAAACTCCTGAGGAAGTGAGCTCCATCCAGTGTGAGCACCATTTCTCATTCTCTTCACCTGAAAACATTCAAGTCTACATTACTTTTTTTCCTTCCTTAGAGGAAGAAGGGCATCTCCTTCTCAAGGCAGTATCTAACTCTTCTGGCATCTGCCCTCCTTGCCTTTCCCCACCAACAATTCACCCAGCAGCCAGGGCAATTCTGTAAAAATGAAAACCAGATCAGCTTGCACTCCTGTGTAACCATCACGTTGCTCCAGGGCTGGGTGTTCTGGCCCCTGCTCAAGCTCTAAGCTCAAACCATGTTCCTTGACCATGTCAAGCTCTCTCCAGCTTCTGGGTCTCTACACACTCTGGTGACTTCCCTGAAGGCTCTTTCCCACTCATCTGGTTGTTTCCTCCTCCACCTTGGTTTTAAATACTTCCTCCAGGAAGTCTCTCCTAATCAATCCATCTAAAGGCGATCCCTCCTCCTCATCTCCACTGAGCGCACCCACCCCGCCCCCTTCTCGCCTGAGCACCAGGTTTCCTTTGACATGCTCCATAGTTACCTCTCAGTTTCTATCATTGCTCTTCTAAGACTCCCAAGTGATGCTACTAGGACATTTTGAGAACCACTGCCCTAGAACAGCCAGTTTGTGTCTGCTGCGTTCAGCATTGGCCACAGGGAAACTTCTTACATTCCCAGGCCTTCTTTGACTTCTGTATGGCTACAGTGCTCTTTCCTGACTTTCAAGTTTCCCATCTTAATACTCACGAGTCTTTCTTGAAAACCTCTTGTGCATTCCAAAAACATAGTCCTATCCAGGCTCTCACACTCCTCTAGGATTTATGCTTTGGTTATCTTCTCCACATCCTATAGATTAGGGAGAATGCCCAGAACACTGGGGTGAGATAACTAAGGGCTACCATCGCAGGAACAGTCTAGTCCCCTAAAGGCAGGGTGGCCGTGGGCAGCTTAGTATCCTTTTAGTTCTCTCAATGGGGAAGGTGTGCAGAAGAATCACAACTTTATGGAAACAGTTCTATGCTGCTCATTATGTACATTATTAGTACAGTATCTGTATGTACTAAAAGCTGTTTGTGAATAAAAATATTTGTTAATGAAATTCCATTTTTCATGTTTTGGGTTACCCATATACTGTACATACCATGTAACTGGTTTCCTGTGTTCCATTTCTGTTGCTGGTTTTTTGGTGGGCATCTTTTTGTTCATATTTAGGTACATTACATACTATGTATATTAATGGAAGAAATAAATTTTATGCCCATGGACAGTAGTTATTTTATGGACAGTAGTTATTTTGGAGTATCTTAAGTACCTGTAGTGAAATTAGTAATCAAAAACCTGAAGTGCAAAATTTTGCTATTCATTTTATAAATAACATTTGTATATATTTTATCATTTCAACTGAATTAAAAATTTTAAGTGTAGAGTGTAACATGAAATACATGTAACAAAAGTAAAAAAACTGAAAGCACTTTATAAATTATATATCAAACCCCTTAATAAACTTGTGAGGTAGGTACTTTTTATCACCAGGCTAAGTAGCTTGACCAAGGTCACATCGTAAATGAACTTGAAGCCTGGCTCCCACTGTTCCACAATACTTTATGGAACTGCGGAAATTACATGCAATGTCTTACTCAGATGCTCGGCACAGGACCCTGATGTTTTCCTCTCAAATTATGTTAAGAAGGGGTTGCTTTATCTCTAATTTAGAAATGTCCCCTTACAGAAGCTCTGCAACTATCTCCATACCAAACCTTCATTTCCAGTATAAACCTTGTACATGAGGCCCAGTATTATTTTGTTTGGCCAGAGAATAAGCCCTCAAATATAATTTCCAAACTCAAGCTTAACCAAAAAGCTTTTCATAGTCTCCCTGAAATGGATACATCTGATCATCCTCTCTCACCACCTCCCAAACCTGGGTCTTTCCACCTGTCCTGTCCTTCCCATTCCTCTCTGGTTCAGGATTACCTCATTTTCACAGAAGTTATGGGGTACACCTTGTTTCTACAGTTCACCTTACCTGTCACTATCTAAAATCACCACCATTTGCCACTTGTACTTTAATTTCCAAACCCACCTCTCCAACCTTAGTCTAATAAAGGTGGCCACACCAGCCATGTTTTATTAAATCCCAGTTTTTCTACCTTTCAAGCCTTAGGATCTGCTCTTTTCCTAGGTTCCAAAAATGGCTCTCTGTTCTCTAATTATTCAAATCCTTATTCTTTTTTAAAGTCCACCCTCAAGTGACCCTGCCAAATAATCAGGTTCCAGATAATCTTTCCTTTCTATGAGCATGTGGGAACTTAGAATCTAGAGAACCACACACTGGCAATTAATCGTATTACACTGTATACTCATGTCTTATTTTCTAAGTCTTCTCTACCTATTCATGAAGGCAGATCTTGTCCCTTCTGTATACCCCACTGTACTGTACATGTCAGTTGATTTTGTAACTTTTGAGAGGATCAGCACTCTGGTCCCTGACCATACAGCAGAGTTTGGACAGTGAGAGACCCAAGTATCCTGGATGGAAGGGATGAATCACTTTCCCTCTCCTTGTCTGAAGGGTTGAGGGAAGGGTGGGAGGCTCCTCAAACAGCAAGCACCATCTACACTACAGTAAGACTGCAAGTTAGCTCCATCTGTGTTAGTGGGGAAGAGAGGATACTAAATGCTGCTAGAAAATTGAATAAAGCCAATCAAGATTGAGAACAGTGCTAGCTCCCACGAATCTCCCAACTGTGACAGGGTGGCGACAATTCCTTCTTTTATTTCCTCCTCTTGTAAAGGGAGATTCAAGTTCAGCAGCATTCCTGTCCCCAAGTCCCCAACCAGGCAGGAGACTGACTGCAGGAACCAAACTCAGGTTAACAATACAGGCCTCAGACCTCTCCTGCAGCTCTGGACTGCAACAGCTGTTTGTATCCTGAAGTCAGCACAAAATCCACCAAAAAAGAGCACCACCACTCAAAGACCAGGGGGCCGCTGGGCCTAAAGCTGTAAGGTGGACAAGAGGCAGGCTGTGGAGTGATGAAAGAATCTCAAGACTACTGGTCACTTGAGTTTGACAAAGGTCACCTCTGTTTGCATAGAGGAATGTCATAAATAAGGCCAACTCAGTTATCTAAAGAAAAGCAAACAGACAAGTCTTCCAGAGGAAAGGAAGTAAAGTGGTATCCTAGTCACATCAGGACCAAGCTCTGCCTCCCTGTGCTGGGTTGGCTGCAGACCAGAAGCAGGTTTCTGAGTGGAGACAGAGCTGACAATAGGGGACATTTAGGCCACACCAGTAGGTCTTCCAGAAGACTTCCAGGAAGGAAAAAATCACTCTCGGGGGCGGTTGACCATGACTTCACCCAGGGCCTCCAACACCTCCCGCTTGTAGTCCTCGAAATCGCCATCGATTTGGCTAACACTCTGCTCCTCCACTACCCACAGCTGGCAGTTGGTTTCTGTGATGAGTCGGGCATCGTGGCTGACGACGATCACAGCTTTGAAGAAAGACGGTGAGAATGAGGGTGGGAGAAAGGAGGAAGAGGGAATCAGAACACGAAAGAGAGAGCCCTAGCCAAAGGACACTGCGGCCTGGTCTCCAGGGGAAGAAAGAGGAGAGGACGTTCTGAGCTGACTCACCACCCTTATACTCGTTGATGGCCTCTCCCAGAGCATCAATTGACTCAATGTCCAAGTTATTGGTGGGCTCATCCTGTGGAGAAGGCATTCCATGACTGAGCGTTACAACTCCTACCTGCAACTAACCCCTCTCCCGGAGTCCAGCACACTCACCAAGATGAGGACATCGGGCTCCCGACAGGCCAGCTCTGCAAACACAACTCGGGCTTTTTGCCCACCTGTAGCAAACGAAAAGGAGGTCTATCGCACTTCTGCCTTACATTTCTGTAGGTAAACCCTGCATATGTGTCTGTGTATATGTGGAGGTCTCCCCAAGCCCTGGTTTCTCTTCCTCTCTGCCTCTAGGTACAGTCTGTAGCTATAAATACTGAGGAAGAGGACACCTTCCCAGCCCCCTACAGTGGTACCAGAGAGTTTGCAGATCTGGATGGTGTGGGCATGACTCTCAAGGCCAAAGCGGCCAAGGCACTTCCGGGCATCCTGGTAGGGTAGGTTGAAGCCCTGCTGCAAGTACTCAGTAGGTGTCTCCTCCATGCGCAGCTGCTCTGCATACTGCTGGTTGAAGAAGCCAATTTTCTGCCCCAGAGAAGAGAAAGGTGGTTAGTGAAAGTCTTACTTCCTCTATTGGACTCTTATTCCCTGATTTCCCAAAGCCAACTTACCAGCCGGTGGTTCTTTCTCATTTCCCCACGAGTCTGCAAAGAAGGAATGTGGTTAAGACAAGAAAAAGTGCAAAGATGCCGCAGCTCCATATCCCAACTTTTCTGAAGGGGAGACAAATACTAGATGGGGCTGGGAATAGGTCAGTGGGAGAAAGGGAACATGGATACTGTTCCTAATATGGCAAAGACACACCCAGGAAATCAGAATACAGGGCAAAAGGGAACAAGAATAAAGGAGGGGAGACAAAAGCACAGATTCAGAACCAGGAGGGCACTGACCACAAGCAAAGAACACCCCATCCTATCCAATAAGACTCACGAATAGCACATTTTCAGGGTCCCACCTCAGATGGGGGTTAAGAGCAGTCTGTGGGAGGCTCTAGGAGCACTTTTCTAAAGAGCTACCCTCTGTGGGTGTGAGAAAAAGGGCCCTCTCAACACTTTCCTGGAGGAAGTACAGATGGCTACAACCTATCTAAAGCACTATGTGGCAATATAGTGCCAAAGTCCTAAAAGCAATTCCAAGTAATTTACACTAAGGAAAAACAATTCATAAAGAGGTACAATAAGAGTATTTACCATAGTACTATCCTTCAGTAAAAAAATCAGAAACAATCTAAATGACTGACAACAAATAAATTATGGTAGATCCATATAAATAAACATACACACATTAATTATTGGCATAAAAAATGGTTGATGTATATTACCTGGAAAAAGCTGGGTACAGAACAATGCATGATAGACCAATTGTTAAAAAAAAAAAGACATGTACTTTTGCAAAGAAAAAAAAGAGAAAGCCATCTACCATAATTAATACTGGGTATCTCTAGATTTTTCTTTGGCTTATGATATATTGAATCATTGTTTAAGAAACACATTTTTATATAACCAAAATACACATGGGGGTATCCCCAGTCTGACCCCCATTCTCCCGGCTTTCCTCCCTGAACTGATTTAAACTGTCCTCTACCACTTAAGGAAATGAGTTATCTGTAATGAGTCCTGTATTTAACTTTCCCCTGTACAGGGGGCTCCCTGATTCTAGCCTCTAACAGCCACGTTTTCATACGTCCCACGCACTCCTGTCACAGTCCTCTCTTCCTGGCTCCAGGACTCACCGGGGTCAGCCTGCCCGTCAGCAGCAGGAGCAGGGTACTTTTCCCCACGCCATTAGGGCCCACGATGCAGACTGCAGGAAGCAAAACAGGTGGTCAAAGACGTGCCCAGAAACTCTCCCTGTGGCTCCTACTCCATATCCAAGTCACCTGACATCAACTCACTTCTTGAATCCATGTCAATGCCAAAATCCAGATTCTTAAAGAGTGGTTTCTGCCCCTCATAGCCAAATGTCACACCTGGAAGCCAGGAAAAGAACCAGTTTCTTTTCTTTTCAGTTACCCCGAAAGTCGCTGCCACAATGTTCCAAGCCTTGAAGAGGAACTGGTCCCACGCTGAGTGGAGGACTGGGGTGCCCATGCTCCCACCCTGTGCTGCTGGGGGCTGCAGGTGCTCACCATGCAGACCCAGCACAGGAGGGCTGAGTGGCGGGGGGTTGGGAAACGTGAAGCGCACAGTGTACTCCTTGGGGCGCTTCAGGAGCTCAGGGGCCTCCTGCGATTCCTCATCCTGGTTTTTCCTTCGGCATTTCTGCTGCTTCCGAGTCAGGGCTTCCTTTGTTTGCTTTTCCTGGAGAGAAAGGGGAAAGGGAGAAATCCACACCCTCACAGCATTCACTGAAATGTAGGCTGGTGTCCCAGAGTCTGCTCATTCTCCTGAGAAGACCCCTCCATCCCAGAAAGAACCCCATCTGCTCACTGCCTGCTTGGTGGACTTGCCACCCGCCTTTAGCTCCTTTAGCTTTTTCTCCTGCTTCTCATACTGCTTCAGTAGTTCTTTCTGCTTCTGCTGGTACATCTTCTTGAAGGTCACTGGGGCAAAAGAGGAGATGGGCATCAATATCTAGATCCTGAAAAAATCTAGCTTATCACCATGCCCCTATAGCCCTCCCTCCCAGGCCTTTTTTCAGAGCCCCATCTCTTTCCTCCAGGCATGAGCAATCCTACTTACTGTAATTGCCCCTATAGTAATGGAGCCGCTGGGCATCGAGATGAATAATATCAGTGCAGACATCATCCAGGAAGCCCTGGTCATGGGAGACGATAAGCAACGTTTTCCGCCAGCCCTGAAGATAGCTAGGTTTTAGAGAAGAGTTTGGAAATGTCACAATGGTCAAGTCAGGTATGAATCAGGGGAAGTAGACAATGGGGGCAGGGAGTAAAAGATAAAGGGTTAGATTGAGAGCTATCAAGGACATAGTAAAGAACAGCTATAGGAAACAAGGACAAAATGGGAACCAATGATGCAAAAACTGTAATCAGGGGCAACTCACTTATTGAGCCAGATGACAGCATTGAGGTCCAGGTGGTTAGTGGGCTCATCCAACATCAGCAGTGTGGGCTCCATGAAGAGCGCCCTAAAGGGTTGGGCAGCAATGTATAGGGTCAGAGAGAGGAAGATCCTTGCTCAGAGAACCCCAAGGAAGACTATGGGTAGGTATAGCCAGAGACCATGAACACTCCTTCCCAATCTCTTCTTAGAGAAGTTCCGTGCAGAATTCATCATGAAAACATACACAGGTATGGAGAGAAATGGAGAAAAAACCCGAAGTCTGACAACACAGACAGTAAAGGAGAGAAAAATTAGCCTCGAACCTCTCTACTGGCCTTGGAAGTATGGGAAGAGGGGACCTGGTGGTGGTTTGAGGCTGGTGAGGTGGGAAGCCCACCTGGCCAGGGAGACACGCATGCGCCAGCCCCCCGAGAACTTCTGTGTGGCACGATTCTGCATTTCAGGGTCGAAGCCCAGACCAGCCAAGATCCTCCGGGCTTTGGCCTCTGCAGCTGCTGCCCCAGTAGCCCGCAATTCCTCATAAACCTGAGAAGAGGAGGACACAGGTCTGAAGATTGCAGGAACCCCCAAGTCTTAGTCCGTATCCCCTGCGCCATCTCCTCTACCTTCTCTAGCCTCTCGGCAGCTGTGTCATCCCCCTGCTCCAGCTGACCCTGAAGCTGTCGCTCCTCTTCCAGCAGCTTTAATCGCTTGGTGTCAGCTCGAAGAACAGCCTGCACTGCTGGCGTTTCATCTGCTACCACCTCTGGCAGGCAGGGGGAGAACAGTCACGTTACCCGAAGGGCCAAGGATCCTATTTCCTCTTCCCTTCAGCTCTATTTCTAGGTTGCCTGACTCTGCCCAGTTATTGTTCCAAATAAAATATCCCAGTTTCTCATTTCTTCTCCTTTCTTTAGCATCCATGTACCAGTCCCCAGTCTCCCTATACCACCTTTCCAACCCCACAACCACAATTTCTTTGCTTTTTGGTTGGCTATCTCAACTGATCACCCCTCAAGCCCCTTTCCCACCAGTGGCCTCACCCTGCTCACAGAGCAACACATCAATGTTGGGAGGGATGCTCAAGGCTCGGTTGGCGATGTGCTTGAGGAGAGTGGTCTTGCCCTTGCTAGGGAATAAGAACTATTAGGACTAAGCCACAACTGAGAAATCTCTTCTTTTCCTTCCAGCCTCTACCTTTTTATACCACCAGCCCCTTCTCGCCTCACCCATTGGGTCCCACTAGCCCATAGCGGCGGCCGGCCACAATGTACAGGTCTGCGTTGACGAATAACTCCTTGCCATGGGCTGAGATGCTGAACTTCTCTAGCTGCAGTCATCAGGGAAGGAGAAGCAAAGGGAAGGAATAGGAACATGAGAATTCTCCCCATCAGATGGTAGCTACAGCCTTCTCCCTGCAGGGAAGCCTCTTACAAATCGAGACCTTCAGCATAATCCCCCTTTTCTTACCATGCAGGTCCATTCCCTGTCTACTGCCTCTAATGGGGATCTCCCAAATCCTAAGCCAGTCCAGCCTGACCTACCCGACTTCCTTCCAAGGGTGGACCTCTATACTTCTACTGGTTTTTCTAACTTCTTGCTCAAGTTGGCAGAACTTAAGATGTGGAAAACACCTCCAAGCTTTCTTGCCAGTAGATTAAGCCACTCACACCTCACTTCCTTGGTACCATGGCCACTGAGGGAAAGATGAGAGAACGGGCTCTTCCCTGGGCAAACTGGATGAGAGAAGCCTTCTCAGACTTTACCTTAATGTCAGATGCATTTTCTAACATGGCTTGGCGGGAAGACACCTCTGCTTGTGACACGGAGAAGTCATTCTCAGCAGCATTGGCTGCTTTTAACGAAGCCACCTGGCGCTCATATTCCAACTGAGGAGAGAAAAAACCACTGTTTGCCAGTTTCATGTCACCATGAGATAGGCCCGTGTCACCAGACACTGAGACAAGGCTCACAGAACACCATTCTTTCTTTACTCCAATTGTTTTACTTGAAGTAACACTCAAAGCTCCCCTTCTTGTCCCCCAAATGAAGCATTAAAAAAAATCAAATTCTCCTACCTTTGACCATTAAGAACCCAAGGTCTTACCTGTTTCTTCAGCTTTTTCTTCTCCTTTTTGCTAAGGTGAGCATAGGGATCATTTGCCTTCGACTCACCTTCTTCTTCCTCTTCTCCTTCTTCCTCTGAACCCTAGGAGAATGAAAGGAAGGTAAAAAATGAGGGATATCTTCTAGAACTTCGATTTCACGTTATCAACCCTCAGTTTCACAGTCAGCTCTTTCTTTCTCCACCTAGAATCCTAAGGTATCTTGGTGGATCCTTTCTCATTCTTATACCCGCCCTGTCTCCTTGCAGTCCTTTAGTCATTTCTGCTGCCAGGAATGGTACATGACAGATGGCAGAAATACATATGTATGAAGTCTAACAATGCATATGCCCCGTAAATACAACTACCAATGCAATATAACTGACAATAAACGTTAATGAGTCCTTTTCCTCATTTATCAAATGTTTCTACAGCTTACACATTAACACGCAAAGAAAAGATCTGGAAGTCCCGACACACAGCCACTGAGAAATCCAGAAGAATCACAAGATGACAAAGTACTAGAGGTAAAGGGGACCTTAGAGATTACTAGAACCCCTCATATCATGCAGATAAGTAAGAACCAAGGAAGTGGAAAGATGTACTCAAGGTCGCAAAGTCAGTAAGTGGCAAAGCCAGAACCTAGATCATCCAAGGATAGTGTCAGTTCACTTTCACTCTACATCATGGGCTGCAAACTATGGCCCATGGGCCAAACCTGGCCCAACGTGTTTTTACATGGCCCATGAGCTAAGAACAGTTTTTACATTTTCGAAGATTTAAGAAAAAAAAAGAGGAAGATTATGCGTCAGTGATAGTATGTGGCCTGCAAAGCCAAAAATATTTACTATCTGCCACCTTCTTTACAGAAGTTTGTGAGCTTCTGCTCTGAATAGTAACAGCAACCCCAGATCTTGGCCCCCTTTTCCTCAACACCAAAATATACCTGTTCTGCCTTCTTGGCCTTCTCCTTCCCTTGCTTGGGTGGCTCCTTTTCTTCTGTTATTTCTTCTTCATCTTCTTTCTCTTCATTGTCCATAGCAGCAAATTTATTTTGAGGCTAACATGGGAAAGTTAGCAGGTCTGGTGAAATGCTCAAACACTTGAGACCCAGCACCTCCTCCTGCCAATTATTCCCTCACCTTGGCCTTCCCTTTTAACTTGTCTTCCTTTCCCTTTTTGCACTTGAGCCCCGGCTGTTGTTCCTCAGATACAGCCTAGAAAGAACATACGCACTTTGCTACCTTGTTGCTTAATAAGCATTTCTAGGGAATCTAGGACTAGGAGCTAACTGTAGTGAGTAGTGCTATGGAGGAAAGGAGACCCAGAAAAACCCTAGCCTCCAACTTGAGACTAGATAGTGAAGGGAACACTACAGAATATTTGCAAAGCTAAGGGCCCATGAGTCAGGCAAGTGAGCTACACAAGTGAGATGGCACCAGTGCTGGAGGGTTTCCTCGAGAGGGCGAATCCCGAGAAGAGGTAAAGGTGGGCTTGGAGAAGGCGTTTGAGGGAAAATGAAGAACACAGCATAAAGAACAAAGGCTTCAACAGAGTCCACTGGATGCCAAGATGTGATTAGGCTGATCTGAAAGGTATACATGGAAGAGTTCCAAGTAACAATATACAGAAGTCCAAGTGGAAGAGCAAAGACCTGAAGGCCTTTGTTTTAGATTTGGAGCTTAAAAGCAAAAGAATCACTGTAGAGTTCTGAGTGATGAAAAGAGTATTTAAAAAAGCTGATTTTGACAGTATAAGCAAGACAGACCTAGAAGAGCTAGCTTAAAAGCAAGAAAACAAGCCAGGCAATTACCACACCACAGCTGGAAGGTGCTACCTAGGTGGGAGTGCCTGGCAGAGCCACCACTTTCACCTTATTGATCCAATTCTTCTCTAGCTTGGCAGGCTTAGGAGGATGTTTTTCTTCTTCCTCCTCTTCCTCACTCTGATCCTGAATCAGGGCTGCAAAAACATTACCACCCTGGAGAATGAAAGGGCCAGAGAAGTCAGAAGGATGGTCAAGGCTGCACCCAAGGTCTCTGTTTACCACACAGATGGCTTACCTTGGTTTTCTTCCCTCCTCGGTGTATTGGGGCAGGCACTGAAATGACAAGGAAAGAAGATGAGGCAGAAAAGAGAATTACAATGTCTGGCTCCTCAATCTAAACCAACTCAAATATCTAGGAACGAGGCACTTCTCTCTTTACGGCTCAGGAGTTCCAGGCAGCCATTCCCCTCAGGTCGTTTACCCTCGTCCTCCTCATCACTGGCTGGCACTGAGAGCTTCCTAAGACGCTCCATGAGCTCTTTCTCCTCTCCATCATTGTCTGCATCCTTCTTCCGCCGGCCTTTTCGAGCGTCTCGTTTCTTTTTTTGCTGCTAAAAGCAAAGAGAGTGAGAGAATGAGGCTAAGGCCCAGGACCCTGTGGTATCTCTTCCTCACAGAGAGTTCTCCATTAACTGGGTAAACCAATGTAGGCTGGAGAGGGATTGGTGAGCCTGACACTTGTACCTGCTGGTGCTGCTGCTGCTCCTTTTCCTTAAGCACTTTCTCCTCTTCCCCAGCCTGTTTATCTTCTACTGCTAGCTCTTCAAAGAACTATAAAGAGAAACAGGTCAACACAGCTCAGAGATCAACCAAGCCCCTCTGCCATACACAGGCCCACTGACCCTCCCTTCCACTCTCAACCTGCTTCCCCTCTTAAGATCTTTTCTTCCCTGCTCAGACCTCCCACCTTTCTCACATGGCCGTATTTTGTTTGGAAACATGATCAATTCTCATCTTCAACCCTTATTTCCTCACCGTCTTTTTGGTCTTCTTGTCCTTCTTCCCTTTCTTCACCACCTTGTCTAGAAGGTTTAACAGACATTGTGAATGCTTACCTGCAAATTGCAAAGCAGCCTGATTTCCCCTGCAAAACCCTCAGTGGCCTCCACCCTATTTTACTACTTTTTCTAGTTCAATTATCATCCCCTACACATTTGCACTGTCCTGCAAGATAGACAACAGTGGCTTGGTCTAGGGTGGCAGTGGGAGAGAGAAAGCAGAATTCAGAGGGTGAAGGTAGTAGTGGGAAGAACAGACTGGTCAGCGATAATTCCTATGGTTTTAGCTGGAAAAATTAGTTGGGCTACTGGTACCATTAACTTGAGATATAGTGGAAGAGAAGATCCCCTCTCCCTGCTCCTCCCACCCATGGGGGAAAAGGTAGAATGAAGATAGTATAAATTCAGTTTGGGGTATGCTGTTTGTGAAACCTGCAGGTCATGTAAATAGAGCTGTCTGGTAAGTAAATAAACATCTGTGTCTATGACCCACCTGCTCCGCTCGTACAACATTCTAGCACAAATCACACTGTATTATACTTAACAGTCTTTCATCCTAGAGAGCCACCTGAGACTATTTAGCTTGTGTTCCCAGGGAGCAACATGGGTAGTAAATAAGTGTACTGACTGAACAAATTCCAGTTCCTCCCTTCTGTCCATCCTGGTTTTCCTGAAGGAAGGGTACTATGTTTAACTCCCTGTCTCCCTCCCGCCATCAGACTGGGAGGCAACCAGCATCTTTATGATTCCTCTTGATGTCCAGGCCTATCCACTATCATAGTTCCATCCAAACCATCCCATCTAAAAGCACTCCTGTAATCATTCAGCTTAAACAAACAACAAAAACAAACAAACAAACAAAAACTTCGATGGCTTTCTGCTATCTACCACATTAAGACCAGAATTCCTTGTAACCCACAGTAAGCATTTATTTAGGAAAGTTTTACTGAGCATCTACTATGCCAAAAAATGGGAGATTAATGAGGACAATCCCTGTAATTTAGGGCTTCGCAGACAAAAAGGGCCCTATCCTACCTTTTCTGCTATACCTGTTTTCCCACCCACCTATGTTCTGGCTTCTCCTCGCTCCTTGATTTAGTCCCAGGCATGCTTATGTCCATCTTTGCTTAACCTGTCTTCCATATGGAACACATTTCAAAATCTGACCTCAGTCTTGGGTGACTAGTGTGAAAGAGTGGGAAAAAATGCAGGAGAAAGAAAGGCTTTATATGCTATTCCAAGTAGTCTAATTCTAAGGCACTAAAGAGGCCCCACTGCAGTACATAAGAAGGACTGACATGATCAGCTCACCTTGACAACACTGAAAAGTGAAAAATCCCAGACAGTAGTTTCTCCCCAAGGACTAACACAACCATACTATCTTTGCTTCAAATCTCTTTTATACTTTAAACATCACTCTGTTCCTCCTGATCACAAGAAGAAAAGCCTGTGCACAGGTTCAACTGTGAGAAAGCGTAATCACCAAGTAGGCTAACTGTAGCTAAAGCTATGTTGTATCTTCCATCTCTTCTCTAACGTCTCCTTCCTTTTTATTACATCACTTAAGATGCTCCTAACTTCAAAGCCAAATAAAACACTTTTCTTAATCTTATAATCTCCTTCTCCAATCACCAATTTCTATCCTGTCTTCCCTGAGTCTCAAAAGCTTAGTCCACACTAGCTCTACTTCCTCATCTCCCATTCGGTTTTGAACATACTGAAACAGGCTTTGGGTATCAGCTCCTAATGAATGCTACTTTTGACAAAGTTGCCATTGTTTCCTTTGTTGCTCAACCCAAAAAGTACTTTTTTAGTCCTTATTTGCTTAACTTGCAACATTTTATGTTACCTACCTCCTCATGTTTTTACTTTTCTCCTATCATGTTTTTACAGTTTCTCCTAACTTCAGGAATCCCACTTGCTTTTGGTTTGCCTCCCGTGTCTCTGGCTGCTTGCCTTCTTCAGTCTCATCTCCTCAGCCTCCTTCCCTACCTTACTCCCCTTAATTGTTGAGGTTCTTTTGGATTCTCATCTCCTGCACTCTTTTTGCTTACAATCTGCTTACCTAAAGGAGACTTCTCCACATGCAACACTTCAACTATACTTGACTGTCTTTACTGTTTTTCTCCACAGCCACTAAACAAGCTCTTTCCTTGCCATCTCCTGTGAAATTCCTCAGAAAGCTCCAACTCAGCATTCAAAAGTTGGCCTTATCTGTTTCCACTCTCCACCCTACAAGCAATACTGCTTTCAATAGTCTACTACCCACTGAGTTACCTGAGTGTCATCCCTAATTTGTCTCCCTTCCATTAGTCAGTTCCCAGTTCGGTCGATGCCACTTCCTTAATAACTTTAGGCGTCACTGCCTTGGCTTACTCTCTTACCACTTCCTCACCTGGATCACTGTGAGAACCTCCCTGCCTCCAATCTTCACCAATTCAAGCCATTCTCCACTGCTCGGTGTTGTCAGGGTGAACTGATCGTATCATTTCTTATGCATTTCCATAGGTCTTCCCTAATGTCTTTAGGATTAAACTCCTCGGAATAGCCTATAAAGCCTTCCATTATCTGTCTTCTGCACATCTTTCCAACGCTGTCACCCTAGCCACCCAACAGTGGGAACCAAATCGCTCACCTACATCTTTAGCTTTGCACATATTTCTTTCTCTGCTTGGAATGCTCTTCCCCTTGCTAAGTCATACTGAGCCTTCAAGAATGAACTCTTGAAGGATTTGCAGACACTCCTACCCTACTTTGTTTCAACAGATGCCTCTCCTTCAAAAATGAACTCTTGAAGGCTTTGCTGACACTCCTACCCTACTTGTTTCAACAGATGCCTCTCCTCTTCTCAGCCCTGTAGCATTCTCAAGCACACTCATCACATTCTTTCAACCACTGTCTAATTAATGCTCTGTCCCCTCCACTAGACTGGGCACCCCTTCAAAACAAGGCATATCTTTTATCACTATATAACCAGTTCCTCTGCACAGTACCAGGTATACAGTAGGCAGACAATAAATGCTTGTAAAATTAGTCACTGCGCACCTACTGTAATTATTTGTATCCATTTTATCTCCCCCCTTAAACTGTCAAGCCTGGGAAGATGCCTCATATTTTTTCCTCCCCTCCCCAAAGCACGGTATATACAGTGCTTTATTAAAAATAGGTGCTCAACATTCACTGTTTTCAAGTAAACCCTAAACCCCATTCCAACACCCAGCATCTTCACTCTTGATCCACTCGAGTA